TGTGATTTTATATGATTTTTTGAACATATACCGTTTTTGGTCGAAAACTCAGAAATCATGACGTCACTAAAATCTCGACATCTCAAAAATTTTCCGACCGATTTTTTTGAAACATTGTCACAATAACCTTCAATCAATTCCCTACAGGTACCCAAAATTTGGCGCGCCTGCGGCGCGCCGTTTTTATGCTATGGCCCGGCGAAAAAAGTGGGGGCGTTTAACGCCCCCCCCAGCAACTCGCGGGTTAATCACATCAATGACAAATTTTGCGTTCCTATTCTCTTTTTGGCTTCCTAGGAACCCTACATGTCCATTAAAATCCCCCAACAACATTGTTGCCATGTCTGGACTTTCTTCTAGCTTCTCTTCAAGCTCTTGTTTGATTTTCTCATTTCGCGTTATTATTCTGTTATTTAAGAAATTTAAGAAATGAATGTCACGTGCGCGTCACGACTGCCAACCATAAGCGCTACCATATTCTAGTTTGAACTAGCTTTTTGCTAGTCCCGACCACACATAGTAGGTTTTCTAGTAGTTATACTAGAAATTCCTACCAAAGTTCGTCCTACCCTTTACTCAATCCTAACCTAACCTAACCTAACCTAACGGTTTTGGATGTTGCGTACTTTGGATGTTGCGTACTTTGGATGTTGCGTACTTTGGATGTTGCGTACTTTGGATGATGCGTCCTTGCATGTTGCGTTTTTGGATGATACATTTTGGATGTTGCGGTTTTGGATGTTTCGGTTTTGGACTTTGTGAATGCCCCCTATAAACCCGATTTTGGACGTATTTCGGACGTTGCGTACTTTGGACGCTGCAGTTTTGGATGTTGCGTACTTTGGGTGCTGCGGTTTTGGACGCTTTGATACGGACCCCCCTATATACCCGATTTTGGACGTATTTTGGACGTTGCGTACTTTGGACGCTGCGGTTTTGGATATTGCGTACCTTGGATGCTGCGGTTTTGGACGCTTTGATGGTCCCCCTATTAATTAGTCACGTGACATTTGGAACTTCTCCCGCCCCATATGCCAAACGTCACATGTAAATTTCACGAACCTTGATCAAATCGCCCCAGGCGCCCTGTTTTCAGGACGCCGGTGAAAACAGGGCGCTGGAGGGCATATTAGTCACGTGACATTTGGAACTTCTCCCCCTCTATGGGCCTTCTATATCCCAAACGTCACGTGTAAATTTAACGAACCTTGATCAAATCGCCCCAGGCGCCCTGTTTTCACCGTCGTCCAGGGCCCTGTTTCACCGGTGATAGCAGCAAGCTGCTATCACGTTTCGCGAGCTGACGTCATGTCGTGACGCCATACTGTTGTCGTAATGGGTAGTTCCGGCGCACGATTGCCGCGACCTTGGCGGCGGCATTAAGTGACGTATGAGCCTAAAAGTAAGAGTTTACGCAGTCATGATAGTATATATATTTTTGATATATATTTTTTCAATATGATGTATTTAAAAGAAATTGGGTTTAGGAAAAATTTTGACATTAACTTCGAACATTTAGCTGATGACGTAGAACAATATTGCGGCAATCGTGCGCCAGAATTGCCCCTTACGTCAGCAGTATGACGTCATCACATTACGTCAGCTCGCGCAATTTGATAGTAGCTTGCTGCTATCACCGGTGAAACAGGGCCCTGTTTTCACCGTCGTCCCTACACCTTTTGTCAGTTGAATTCGGGGCCCTGTTTCACCGGTGATAGCAGCAAGCTACTATCAAATTGCGCGAGCTGACGTAATGTGATGACGTCATACTGCTAACGTAAGGGGCAATTCTGGCGCACGATTGCCGCAATATTGTTTTACGTCATCAGCTAAATGTTCGAAGTTAATGTCAAAATTTTTCCTAAACCCAACTTCTTTTAAATACATCATATTGAAAAAATATATATCAAAAATATATATACTATCATGACTGCGTAAACTCTTACTTTTAGGCTCATACGTCACTTAATGCCGCCGCCAAGGTCGCGGCAATCGTGCGCCGGAACTACCCATTACGACAACAGTATGGCGTCACGACATGACGTCAGCTCGCGAAACGTGATAGCAGCTTGCTGCTATCACAGTGTATATAAATACAGTGGCGGCAAATGCGCTTGGTCACGTGACCAAATCTGCACGTGCGGTTGTGGCGAGGGCACTTCCCGAAACTCTGGTGCCAACGGCCTCGCGGCGCCCATAGAGAATACATGGGACCTTTTCTTTTCAGACCTATCGTGTCTAAACCAAGCCATTTAGTGCAAGGATGCGACTGGTTTGAGATTCAGTAGTCTTTTGGCTATAAGTCGGCATAAGAAACGTATTTTTATCGGCAAAATTCGCAAAGTACCAGGTGGTTTTCCGATGCCCTGCACGCCTCCTAACCCCCGGCGGCCGACCGGAGGAGTCAGTAGCGCTCGTCTCACGACTCTTGGCGATAGCTCAAAGCACCTTACAGCTAGAGGGCTGCTATTTGGCACACCTTATCTTTGCTTCCATACGCATCTTTGGAAACCAATTGCATTTCCGTCTCAGGTCAGATCACTGACGTATGACGTCACACGTGAACCTCTGCAATAGTCCCAAAATACCGAAACTTCGCAATGCCCTCGGTGCCAGAGGAGCTGTCACAGCGAGATGATATACTTACAGGACCTAGTATCCTCTAGGAGTCTCAAAACTTGTATATCTCGGATTTCTCCTAGAGGTCACATGAGGTCAGGCCGATCGCGTGACGTCACCATTACAAGTCAATGGGGAAAATATGGAAAATGTAATTTTGACGCCGAGAATGATCTAAACCTAGCTCAAGCACATGGAATCGCAATTTCATGCAATTCTTGCAATGTCCAATGCTTCACTTTTGCATCTTTAACCTAGCGTGACGTCATTTATGACGTCACAAAGGTCACAAGTTTTTTCGTCAATAACTCCTGATAAAATTGAACTGGCAAGTCGGAAAAGTCGCCAATCGACTCGGGAAGACCTACCGAATCGAATGATATACGATATAACCTACTCCGACCAACTTCGTGACCTGAGTGCCTCTGACCTGGCTTTGACCCGATGTGAACACCTTATGTTGACCCCACCCAAACAAAAGTGAACCATTTTGACGCACCGGAGCATGACAAACATGATGGTACTAAAATCGCGACTCTGCGCCGTTTTTTGGCAATGTTATTTCTCAAAACCCGAAATCGTATTTTGGCCCTCGGGGCACTTGACCTGACCCTCAGAGGCCACCAGTTGACCTCAGACTTTTTAACCGTGCATCAATCGCTGCGTCCCCGGTCCCGTAACGGCATACATGCTTGTTTTTCCCGCGAGGCTAGCTCAATTAGAGCGAGGGAGTTGTCCCGCCCGCTCTCGTGGCTGGGGCGTAGGTAGGTATGTAAAAAAAAAAAAAAAACTAAGAAGTCTGGTGATGATTGATGCAATATTCTTATACAGATAATGCCGGTAGATGAAGGTAGGGCATCAGTTACTAAAGATAAGTGAAACAAATTTGCAGCCCTCAGTAGCATTGATTTATGCATTAAAGGAAACAGTTCACTTTCCTGAAATTAGTATTTTGCTATTGATTTATGATTTTTTATGCTCAAAATGATCATGAAATAAAATAAAACCTTTTTGTAAAAACCTTTTTTTTCTATATTTTAATATAGGACGAACTATATTCTATGTAAAATAATGTTTGACGCGGAATCTTATTACGCGTTGACCAATCATATCGCGTAGTTCAAACCTACGCATACTGCATTGGCTGTAAGCAGCATGCTGATTGGCTGACGATGACGTGGCTGCATTCCTGTGCAAGGCACACATTCCTCTGCAAGGCACTCTTTTCGGAACGAGAAATGGAATATCTTCGTCTAAGGTGATCATTGAGCCGTAAAAGCTCCTGATTTGTGCTAGTCTCAGCTCAAGCTACGAAACTGCTATTCCAGTTCAAAACCCCATGTTAAAAGTGAACTATTTCCTTTAAGAGTTATAGAACCATAGGCGGCGGAACGGGGAGGGCACCGGGGCACCGTGCCCCCTTTAATTTTGGCATTTTAACATTAGCCCTATGGGCGTTGCATGGAAAGAATCGGACCGAAAGTCGGCAGTGCCCCCCCCCCCCTTAAAGGAAATAGTTCACTTTCCTGAAATTAGTATTTTGCTATGGATTTATGTTTTTTTATGCTCAAAATGATCAGAAAATAAAACAAAACGTTTTTGTAAAAAGGATTATTTTCTATATTTTAGTATAAGAAGAACTATATTCTATATTAAATAATGTTTGACGCGGAAGCTTATTACGCGTTGACCAATCATATTGCGTAGGACAAACCCATCGGCTGTAAGCAGCATTCTGATTGGCTGACGATGACGTGACTGCATTCCTCAGCAAGGCACGCATTCCTCTGCAAGGCACTCTTTTCGGAACGAAAAATGGAATATCTTCGTCTAGGGTGATCGTTGGGCCGTAAAAGCTTCTGATTTGTGCTAGTCTCAGCGCAAGCAACAAAACTGCTATTCCAGTTCCAAACCCATGTTAAAAGTGAACTATTTCCTTTAATTGAAGGTGCATTCCGCCGCTACTGTATAGAACAACTGTAAGCTGCAGGCTCAGCTCTTCAGCTTCTACCTATGCCTGCAAACACAATAAAATCAATGGAAGAGTAATAATAGATTAATTGCATTTTATTGATGCTATTCAAGTATCAATGGTAACTATGTCACCGATGATTCAATATTATTTGCACGGTATCATTTACCACCACACGTTTAAATATTTAGTATCTAAAATAATGCAGTAAAATAAGCTGCGCCACGTCTGTCGACAAAATCTGGTGCCAACTCAAGGTCAAACGGAAAATGTGGTCACGTGACCAATGTCCGGCAGCTGGCTGCTATCACCGGTGAAACAGGGCCCGGTAGGTACTATATCGTCCATTTAAGAACTAACGAAATGTGTGTAGACATACCATAATGTTCAAGAATTTAGAGCAGACGTCACACGAAGGTTTTCCAACCAAGGAGAGGCGCCATACCCGGAGGTGCTTCTTTTCTTTCTAGGAAAACCTAAACAAACCTAACTTAACTTGACCTTACCTTGCCTACAACCTACCTACAACCTACAAATCTACAACCTAAAACCTACAACCTACAAACCTACAGTGCCTCTCCTCAGTTGGAAAACCTTCATGTGATGTCTGCTCCACTAATGCCAAATTGTATAATATCTCGGTGCAGGTCAGGCAGTCTGCGGTAAGGCATTCAATTTTGGCACAGCGGCAAAACACACCATTTTCGGCGATTGATAGCGCAAGTAGAATCGGCTGAGCCAGCACAGGATTAGAGGTAGCGCATCAGCATGCTATTTAGCAACAGTAACAACCAAATTCGGCATTGTTCATTTAATTTCGGCGGATAACTGGAGGCACCCAGATGATTCATATTTTCAGGAATGCTTCCTGAGCATCAAATGAATCCTTATACAGCTTTGTGGCTTTGAGATGTTCCAGTCGGGGGAGGTTTGGTCAATCGTTGTCATTGACGCAGGCCATTTTTGGCATCGTTGTCATTGACACATGCCATTTTTGGCAACCATGTGCCAAAAATGACAACAATTTCAGCTATTTTTTGGCAACGATGAAGCTGATTTCACTGCTCAGCGAGGAAATCACGATTTTGGAAATACAAGCACTGATTTTGGAAAAGAAGTGCTGTGCTGCCACCTGGTGCAAGAAGAATAAACCAGCTTTAATATGGCCGTAGTTTGTATGGTAGTCCAACGTTGAAGTACCTACCGTAAAACGGTGTTAGGGGACAGTGGGGTGCTATGGGACAAAACTTTGAGTCATAATAAGTTTCTAATTTGAGAAGGTTAAATAAAAACTTGAGTGTGGTAGTTGACACTGTTTTGTTCTTGACTAAAGGACAAAGTGGCATGTTTTTTATGCAAGTGATTTGGTTCAAAAATGGTTTTGAAAATCATGCTACATTTTCACAAAATTGAAACATCTCCAAAACTCTGTGTACCTATACCAGGGTCTATTTTAACATGTTAACTGGGGGGGGGGGGGGCAAATGCCCCCGTGTCAACAGAATTGCCCCCCCCCCCCAGTCGTTGAGATTTGCCCACTATAAAAATGGGCATAAACGAACAGGGTGACAAACATACTACTGTGACTTGTTTTGCAATGGATGTCAAATGAGTCAGTTTAAAAGTAATAACCAATGATGGATCCAAGGGTGAGTCATATGTGTCATGTGTGGACCCCGCCCCCTTTGGGCCCGTCCTGCCAGGCCTGCCAAGGGCACCACAGGCCTGTTGGGATCACCATCGACCTAGGAAGAGCACCATAGGTCTGCCAGGGGCGCCACCGACCTCGCAGGGGCACCTTGGGCCTGTCAGGGGCACCACAAGTTTGTCAGGGGCACCACAGGCCTGTCAGGAGCACCATCGGCCTAGCAAGAGCACCATAGGTCTGCCAGGGGCACCACAGACCTGCCAGGGCCCCACCAGCCTCGCAGGGGCACCACCTTGGGCCTGCCAGGGTTACCACCACAGGCCCGCCAGGGGCACCACAGGCCTGCCAGAGGCACCACAGGCCTAGCAAGGGCACCACGGACCTGTCAGCGACACCACGGGCCTGTCGGGGGCACCTCAGGCTTGTCAGGGCCAAGGAACACCACAGTCCTTTCAGGGGCATCACAGGCCTGTCAGGGACACAAGAGGCCTAGCAGGGACATCACATACCTGGCAGGAGCACCACCGGCCTCGCAAGAACACCTTGGGCTTGTTAGTGGCACCACGTGCCTGTCGGGGACACTTCAGGGCATCACCGTCACGTTCAGCAGACACTACACCCAGCACTCTACCATCAGCAGTCTCCAGATCTCCAGCATCAGCTGCCACCAGCTCTCCAACATCAACAGCCTCCTGTGCACCGACATCAGCTGCCACCAGCCCTCCAGCATCTGCAGCCTCCTGTGCGCTTTGCTGTTGAAGAACGTCATACATCATGTCGCCGTGCGACTCAGGCGGCACATCACTCGTCGCAAGCCACTCAGGCCCCTCAAACCAGAGGGAGGACGTCACCAGCGCGTCAGCCAGCGCGCCTCGGGTGAGAAGGTCTGCTGGGTCATCAGCCGATCTGCAGTGAAACCAGTTCTCTACAGCGGTCAGTTTCTGGATCTCAGCGACCCGGTTTGACACGAATTGTTTCCAGCGCTGCGGCCGGCCTCGTAGCCAGCCCAGCGCTATCATGCTGTCGCTCCAGCAGGCATACGGCGTACTATCGGGTAGTCGCAGAGCGTCACGGACAAACCGCACCAGCTTAGCGGCCACCAAGCACGCCATCAACTCCAGGCGAGGCAGCGAAAGCCGCTGTCTATGCGGCACCACTCGGCCCTTGGACATCACAAACGACACTCTGTAGGATCCGTCCGGCTGCTTGATCCTCAGGTATACACAGCTGCCGTAGGCCTTTGGCGATGCGTCTGCAAACACATGCAGTTTCAAATCTGTCAGAGAACTCCAATCAGCCTCAGACAGAGTGGTGAAACAGCGTCCAACTTTCACATTCTGCAGCTTCAGGCAGCCCTCCATCCAGATGCAGAACAGCTCTGCTGCATCATCAGGAAGCACGTCATCCCACTCCTGACTCCAACTTCAACGCCCACATCTCCTGAAATAAACACTTGGCCAGCACTGTGAATGGGGTCAGGAGGCCAAGCGGGTCATAGATCCTTGCGAGCAGACTCAGAATTACTCGCTTTGTCGGCACAATCCCATCTGGCAGCTGGTCACCTGCAAATGGCAGCGTGTCATCTTCACGGCACCACGTCACGCCCAGAACCCGAGTCGTCTCAGAAGTCGGGTGCTGCTGACCCTGTAACTGAAGTTTGTCCAGCAGGACAGGTGAGTTACTGGAGCACTTTGCGAGCTCCATGCCGGCAGCTCCCATGATTGCACGTGCCTCTTCAAGCATAGACACAGCACCCTGTTCAGAATCACATCCTGAGAGCCAGTCATCAGCATACAGTGACTCAACTCTGTCACTACAGGACTTTCGGGGTACAGAGACAGGTGGTGTTTGACGGTTGCATTTAACAAAAACTGACTGCACGCAGCGCCCATGACCACCCGCTCGAACCGCATGACTCGTGTGCGCTCACCCCCGTCGCCTAAAGAACCCGTGGGCATCCTGGTCACAGGTGGCAATCCTAATCTGGTGGAAGGCCTTCACTATGTCTGCACATATGCCGAACCGCCCCCGTCTAAACCTCAGCAAGACGTCCAGCATGTTGGGCATGAGTGGAGGCCCCACCTCAACAACATCATTCAAGCTCACACCATTGGGTCCAGCCGCGCTGGCGTCGAACATTGGCCGAATATTTGTTGACACACTACCCGTCCTCAACACCGGCCTGTGGGGCAGGTAGTAAGTCACATCGCCGCTGGCTACCTGCTCGGAGGCACCTCACTTATCACACCATCCACCTCCATCTGCTCTAAGGCAGCGTCATATCCTGCTTGCAGCTCTGGATTTTTGGCTAGTTTCCTGCTCTGACTTACCAGCCTTTGCTTTGCCAACTCACAGTTGTCCATGAGCTGTGATTTCATGTCATGTTTCCATGGGATCTAAACTTCATACCTACCAGCATCATATTTGATAGAAGAGTTGAACTCATCTCAGCGTCAGATGTCTGATCACTTTCAGACAGGTCACTGGCACCCCAGGGCAGATGTGCCTAGCACTGATTGGTGCCATGCTAGTCATTGTCAGCAGCTGCCTCCCGTTCGCCCCACCATGGACTCCCCCTGCGTACCCTTGACAGGACCTGACAGGACCCACCCAAGCACTGTCTCCATAGCGACTAGCCCCTCAGAAGTGCGCACAAGCCCTTTTACAATGCCTAGCACAATAATTTTACAATGCCTCTGTGTGGCGACATATCTGATAAATCAGCAAACATGGAACAGTCATTTCGCACTGCTCTTGGTAGACAATGAACTAGCCTTGCTTACCGAAGCATCTCAGATCAAATTGACAACTGAACAGTGAATTAATGTCGTTTTCATGACAGTATTTATTTCAGAAATCTCATTAAATCATGTTTTTAGCTATAAAATCAGCCCATTGATAATGGCGCCCACCAAACTTCATCAGCAGTTTGCTTCTGCTTCCACAGCACCTGTTTCATCTGTAATGTTTTTAAAAGGAAGGAAACAATTGCGTCATAAGAGCATGGGCGTTTTGCCTACCCTGGGCGTTTTACACTGTTTTCCCCTACACACTTTTAAATGAAAATGACTACTCCGGTTAATAAAGCCACCGCTTCATAAATCCAAAACGGTGTGTTACCAAGGTGGATTTATTAAGCGGATTCTACTGTAATCAGTAGCGGCGGAACACCTTCAATAAGGGGGGGGGGCACTACCGACTTTCGGTCCCATTGTTTCCATGCAACGCCCATAGCAGGGCTAATGTTAAAATGCCAAAATTAAAGGGGGCCCGGTGCCCTCCCCGTTCCGCCGCCTTTAACTGTAATTGAGTTTCTATCACTTCCTTCAGTAGTTGTTCCTTGAAAAGTGCTTCCGACATAATGTCTGATGCCCTTTAATAACTCTCGTCTTCATCGCTGATGCTCCAATTTCGCCTCGGAGGGCACAGCTGGCTGTATGTTTTGGTGCACCAAGCATCTGCCGATGCACTCCGTTTTCTATTACATCCAGTTTCTTGACCTCTTCTTCTGTTATGTAAAATATGTTGGCACCATACAAAATGGATGGCAGAGCAAAGCTCTTCCAGAATGTTTTCCCTATCAGGAGTTTGTCGCAACTTCTTGCGACCATCCTATGCGTGATATTTGCTATCCTTTGGGCTCTTTATCATGTTTTTTTTCTGCTCCTTGAATATGTTTCACTGATTTCCAATCCTTTCACCGAGATACTTTAGCTGTTTGTCGTCGATATTTCTTCTATTTCATCTGGTTGTTCCTTACAGTTGTAGGTATGCCAAGACAGCTGTCTTGTCCTTGTTTATATCTAGACCGCACCTCTTACTCACTTCATTTACAGAAATGACGTCACTCCGGCGTCATTAACGGTCAACCTATTTATAACCTTTGGAAAAACTTTTGGTCACAATGTTTAAAAGCTACTCCCGGGAGGGTACTGAAAGTTTGGTGACGATCGGCGCAGCGGTTCTGGAGATATAAAAAAATCAAATAGGTACAAACAAAACTAAAAACTAAATAATGATCAAAAAAGATGATATTGATATTTCGATCACGGGACACGGATCTTTGTCGGAAAACACAACAGAAGGCCAATATTTTGTCTGAATAAAACGGATATTCGAAATATTACCTAATGTCAGTATATTTTTGGTAATTTATATTTCCTAGGGAAGGTCATAAAAGAAAACTGCATATTGCCAGGAGCTTAGTTTGAGAAGAAATTGTAATACAAGCTGCCCAGCCCCGCCCCTTCAGCCATTGTTTGACTCGAGATGTTTCATTTCAGTGAAGTTGCTTATATTACAAACACGACCATGTTTTTGGTATATGCTAAGTCGAGGAATGGCAACAATTCAGCCACATTGATTCGCCCTTCAGAGCTGCCGACGTACGATGAGTTTACCGACGGAGCGCAGTAAGTAACAGCCGGCGATGGAGCGGGCTGGGCGATGACTGACTACTGATATCTTTGTATAGGGCAGAGTGTGTATGTTTCCGACGGCAGGATAGTCCGGGCAATTCAAATTTCTCGAAAACGCTAAGAGCTAGCGCGCTCAGCACGCCGATAGCTGACACCATGCAGCGGCCTGGCTCCCGGGGGCGCTGGGACGTGAGGTGCATTTTTTCGTCTTTTGAAAAGCTGATGTATTTTTTTTTTTTTGCATGCGCTGTCGTAGTGCCCTGTATGTATAGTCTCTCTTGAAAGTATCGCGACTCTGAGGGAAGGCACCACCTGTTCCAGCCGCGGTTGAGCGGAAAAGTTTGAGAGCCACTGGAAGCACTGACCGAAGCCTGACGCGAGGAGGCAGCCGGCGCGGCGGGGCGAGGGGAGTGGTTGCGAACTGCGACTAGGGATGGAGGGAGGTGGCGGTCGCCCTCCGGTAGCTTGTGATGGCAGTAAACATGTGGTCAACGGAAGCCACCCTACTCGCAGAGGATTTGTTGAGATTTGCTTCATTGCAAAGCTAACAATTTGACCCGTCATAGGCACGACTGTCACAGGTTTTTGGTAAAATCCCGAAACCCGTGCCCGAATACAAAAAAAAAAAAAAAAATCATCAGTTGCACCCGCTAACAGAATTCATCCGTGGTTGCAAATGCACCCGCGAGCGGATTCAAATAACAGCGAAAATACTGTCTCTAGCCAATTCGCCAATTCGCTCTCTAGCCAATTACATACTCCCATATGTGAAGTTTTCTCTTTTTAATGAGCCAACTAGTGAACGGCGGCAAAAATATTTACCGCTCTGCCGTCTTCTTTTTAAAAATCCTTTTTGATGTTGGGCTGTCCCCCTCTCATGACCTGTTTACGTCGTTCAGAAAATCTCTTCACATTAGGACCATGGCGGGAACTTTGCTTCGTTGTGATTTTACGCGTCACACACACTGAGTGATTGGCGCCCACTGCAAGGCAGACCAATGGGCGCCCGACTGGTGAGCCCAGGAGGCACCGGTATCCGCCTGGGGCGGGGGACGGGGTCAAGGGAGAGCGATACGAGCATGACCTTTGGCCGGCCTCCGCCTGTTTTGACCCAGTTGTCAGCCGCTGGGGCCTGCGTCATATAGCAGTTTTCCCCCTAACGCTGGCGTAGAATCATGTTACACCGTACTCTTTATGATACAGGCCATGACCTCACTGCTGGGGTCTTCAAACTGAATGGAATAGTTCGCCAAGCCGCCGCAGCCCATGACGCGATACTTTCAAGAGAGACTATACCTGTTAATCTGCAAGCGTTTCTTTCGCCTTTTTTATCGTGGTATTGCGGAGCTGTTATGAATTTAACCAGACTGTTGCGTGCATGAGAGTTCATGTCTTCCCGAATTGCCATGTCCCATGCTGTCGGGGCGTGATGGTATGCTTGAGGCTGTGTGAACTGTGGGGATTTTCGGGCTGTCCGTAAGCTACACATTACACATCAGATGGTAGCATGAAATACCACACGGGGCCGGTAAATGATTTCTCGAGGACAAAGGCAGTGTGGCTAAATTCATTTTACGTTAGGGGAGGATGTAGAAAAAAGGCCTGAAAGGATGTCCTTATTTTAATAAAACTTGACTTCGACCCTTTTTATGTCACGAGAAAATGATGTAGAAATATTAAATACTGATAAAACTTTGAAGGCATTCTGATATTCGGGATGTTAAATGAGGTTTAACCCTCGCCGGCCGAGGGGGGGGGGCGGGTGCCGCCCCCCCCATAGGGTTTTTTCGCGATAGCTCCGAACACGCTGGCGATAGAGAGCTGAAACTTGGCATACCTGACCTTTGATCCAAGCCGGATCTTTTGACACCAACCGCATTTTTGGGTCAGGTCAGGTCACTGACCTATGACGTCATAAGTGAACCTCTGCACGGTCTTCAGATGTCGCAACTTCGCAACGCCCTCACTGCCAGAGGAGATGTCACAGGGAAATGAAACTTGCAGGATCTAGTATCCATTATGAGTCCCACAACTTGTATATCTCGGATTTTTCCTAAAGGTCATATGAGGTCAGGTCATTTTCGTGACCTCACCATTATAAGTCAATGGGGAAAAATTCAAACTGCTATTCTGGCGCCGGGAACGATCTCCAACTATCTCAAGCACACAGAATCGTGTCTCGTGATTTGATGCACTCCTTGCAAGGTTAGATGCGTCACTTTTGCAATGTTGACCTTGCGTGACGTCATTTATGACGTCATCAAGGTCATATTAGTTTTTCGTCAATAACTCTTGATCAAATTGAGCTAGCGAGTCGGGAAAACCACCAATGGACTCAGGAAGACCTGCCGAATCGAATGATATGCGACAGGACCTCTTTCGACCAACTTCGTGACCTGGGGGTGCTGACCTGACCTTGACCTGAGGTCAACACCCCAAGTTGACCTGAACCGGACAAAAAGTATATCATTCGACGCGCCTGAGCGAGACGAACACGATGCTGCCAAAATCGGCGCTCTGCGGCCGTTTTTTGCGAAGTTATTCACCAAAAACTGAACCGTACCTTGGGGCACTTGACCTGACCTCAGAGGTCACCGGTTGACCTAGGACCTTAAAATCGGGTACCAATCTCTGCGTCTCGTAACGGCGCACACGCTCGTTTTTTCCGCGACGCGCTAGCTCCACCAGGGGCGAAACGGCGAGGGGGGGGGGTCGTACCCGCCCCCCCCCCTCGGCCGGCGCGTATGTAGAAAACCAATAGGTCCGGCGAGGGTTAAGTTGGGTCATATATTTGAGCATTTGGGGTATTTGAATGGTTGTCTTGGCGTGTTGTAGGTAAGAGTTTGCGAGGTTTGTGTTTCTCTTGCTCCTAGATGTTTGGGTTCGAGGTTGTTATGATGAGTCGTGACTGCTGTGTGGATGTTTTTATTTGTATTTTTAGGATGTCATTATACTTTTCATTATGGGCGGATTTCCCCGCATCATTACAATTTTGGACACACTGGACAAAGGTCGTTGTTGATATTACGCCCGAGGCCAAAGACCGCGGGTGGAAAATCAAACAACGACTGAGGTCCTCAAGAAATCATTCCGGCCTAAGTGTGGTATTATTTTACCGTAAGCCGTGTAAAATAGGGTTGGAACCATCTCCACACTCTTTATGTTTTGGTAAAATAAGAAAGCTGAGATTTTTTTTCATGATTTAATTTAAAATCATTTTGTTAAAAAATGCCTAGTTAGCTCAGGAATTAATTATTTGTGACTGAAAACAACTTGCTTCTGATTGGTCGGACTAATCATGACGTCACGTGTAGGTATATAACTGTCTGTATATTTGGCGCAGTTGAGACATATATTTTCTATGTAATCGGAGTGATTGGTCGTGTTCTCAGTGTCTCCTTATTTTGCGCTGGTATTGCGTGGCTAAGAAATTCTATCAAGAATAACATATACTAAAATGTTCCTTTAACCCGCGTCCGGCTGGGGGTCCTGGATTTCCACGCCCTGCTGGGGGGGGGGGGGTGTTTGAACACCCCCCTTCTAACTCGGCTCCTGGGCCACGTAGCGATACGCGGAAGGCGGCGTTCGAAAGAGCGTCAAAAATAATGAGGAAATCACTTCGGTCAATTTTTTGGTCAGGTCAAAGGTCAGGTCACCAGAGGTCATTGAAGGCAAAATTTCGCCGATTCCCAGGTCGAATGTCCACAATTTCCAAGAAACCAACGCATAACTCGGGAACCAATAGAGCTACAGCGCCGCGGAAAAGCGCATTCGATAGCCCTATTAACGCCCTTTCTGATTAATTCGCTCAGATTTGACCTAACGTCAACGGTTTTGCCTGCAGGGAGCAAAAACTACAAAAATAGCCGATTTTTCGGAAACAGTTTTTCTGCAATAACTTTTGACCCAAGCCTTGTACGGGCTTACTTTTACCGGCATCGTGTTCCTCTCGTCAAGACGCATCGAATGAACTATAATTTGACCTTGAAAGGTCAACTTCAAAATTTGACCTCAGGTCAAGGTCATGACCTCACCGGAAAGGGTCATGTTGCATATCAGTCGATCCGTATCGTCGAGCTGAACACATCTAAGGCGTTTTCATCGCTCTAGCATGCCTATATCAAAAGTTATTTGCGAAAAACTGTTAGATACCATTCGTGACCTAAGATGACCTCAGGGCATAAATAGGGGTCACGGACACCATTTTCATGTTCAGTGTGTCTAAACCACTTGCAATTCAGTGTTTGGGAGTGTTTATAATGTCGTTCGTCCAAAAGAGGCGCATTTCAATTTTTTCCCATTGACTTACAATGGGGAGGTCGCAAAATTGACCTTACCTTAGGTCATCGATATCTAAATTCTGAGATAGGGGAGAGTGGGGCAAAGCGGCCACCCTAACGCTTCTCACGATGCCAACGCTTGGTTTTTAAACTTGGAAAGATTCTTTCTATACCAATGTGATCCCTATAAAGTTGCCTTTTATTTCAACTGCGTTTTATTTCCAAAGGCGTTCACATATGAAAGATATTGACAAAACTTTGAACCTATGCATATTGGCCACTCTGCCCCATACCCTGGGGCAAAGCGGCCACCGGCGTCTTCTCAAGTCCCGATATGAGAAACAAAATAGTTGCCTCGTGTACGACTAGGGTGTTTGATGGTGACAAGGTTAAGCGAGGATGGATGTTTACTTTACCATCTTCCACCTGTAGGTAAACAAAGAAAGGATTTTCATGAAAATAAACATTTAATTGCATTTTTGGTAACTCATGCAACTGAAAAGTGGCCAAGATGAATGCATGACGACACATTTGAATATAAATAATGTTTTTTATCCAGATGGAAGCAACTTATGGCCAATTGGGGGTGGCCACTTTGCCCCGGCCACTTAGCCCCGCGCATACCGTCCGAGACAAAAATATTCCAGCTTAGCTATTAGTGGGGTAAAAAACATTACAATCGGTAGAATACATGTATGATAACCATGCAATGCA